TTTTATGACTATGATATGATGATCAATATGCCTTACCACCTCCTTAGTCCTCAAAAGCAATGAACAAATACAAAAAGATCGGACAAAATACCAAGGTTTCAAACTCTCTATAATGTTTGATTATTTGTTGTTGTTGTCGGTTGTAGGTTTGAACTCAGGGCCTGGGTGTTGTCCTTGAGCCTCTTTGTGCTCAAGGCTAGTGTTCTACCACTTGAGTCACAGCACCACTTCTGGATTTTGAGTGGTAATTGAAGTATCTCAGGGGAACTTTTCTGCCCAAGCTGGCTTCAAACTTTGATCCTCAGATCTCAGCCTCCTGAGTAGCTAGGATTACAAGCATGAGCCACCAGCGCCTGGCTTTGTAAGCTTTTTTTTTTGAAAAACAACAACAACAAAACATTAAAAATTATAAAAACCATTCTTAACCCAGAGAATATTAAAAAAAAGCCTCATCTTAATTTGGCTGACTGTGTAGTTTGCTAAGATACAAAGAAAATACTACTTAAAATTCAGACTCAAACTATTAACAGCTAACATAAACATGACATCCTACTGTGTACAACAAGCCCTCCCACTACAGCCATGCAAGACAACACCTAGACACTATCTCTGGGGGGAATGGATTGTGAGGTCTCACAAGCCCCTCATCGCTCCTGGGCCTGAGAAAGGTGGTTCCATTTAAAGGAACAGGACCATCAATTCCAAAGTATCTACTGAGGGCTGCTTTGTGAGAAGGCAAAGGCAGCAGAGGACGAAGCTGCAATGGACTGGATGACAGTGCTCAGTATTGTAGACAGTAACTCTCAGGCTTCATCATTCTTACTGCAGCGCATCAGGATAACAAAATTAGGACGAGTGACAAAGAGGAGTGTCAGACCTTCCCATGTCCAGAAATAATGAAGAGAAAGGGCCTGAGGGGAGGCCACAAAACAAATTCTAGACACTAAATTTTCAAAAGCTGGCTATTCCAATATTTATCAAGATTACAAATTGTGGGTCTCTTCTGACTCACACAATTCCATTTCCATAAAGAGATATGGACATACTCACAATTATGTGCTCAACACAAATACTGAGCTATTCACTGAAATACTACAATGATGAAAATACACATATACAAAGGAACACTATGAAGTTGTTTACAAAATAAAAGACTAAGGAATACTATACAGCTGTTTACAAAATAAAGACTAAAAGAAAAATTTTAGTTTGCTTGTCCTGGGGCATGAACTCAGGGCCTAGGTGCTGTCCCTGAGTATTTTGCTCATGGCTAGCACTCTACCACTTGAGCCACAGTTACACTCTTGACTTTCTGGTGGTTACTAAAGTCTCATGACTTTCCTGCCTGGACTAGCTTTGAACACAATCCTCAGATCTTAGTCTCCTGAGTAGCTATTATAAGCATGAGCCACTGGTGGCCAGCATAGAAAATTTTTCATACTAGTGTGAAATAAAGTTCAAGGCCCACTGCTAAAACAGCAAGATGCGGGCTGGGAAGGTGGCTCAGCGGTAGAGCACTTGCCTTGCATGCATGAGGCCCTGGGTTCGATTCCTCAGCACCACATAAGCAAAAAAGAAAAAAACCAGAAGTGGCGCTTTGGCTCAAGTGGTAGAGCACTAGCCTGAGCTGAAGAGCTGAGGGACAGTGCCCAGGCCCAGAGTTCAGGCCCCATGACCGGACCCAAAAATAAATAAATTAAAAAGCAAGATGCTAGTGTTTGGAACAGAAAAGAAAAATTTTCCCATTTGGATAAGACAAAATGGCTTTGGGGTAACCAAAAAGGGTAATATTAGTTGTATGTGGCAAGTAGAGTCTCAGTAACTGAGGGACAGGAGTCAAGGAAAGCTTAATTAAAATAACTTTCCCTACTTTTGGGGGTTTGATGCTTGTGAATATATTTATCTAAAATCATGAAGCAGATGGCTCTGTTGCTTCATGGCTTTACACTATAAAAAACCCTCTGTAGCTCCTCAATCAACTGCAAATTGATTAGACACTTGGCCAAAGCTTGACAAACTTCAATGTCCTCATCCAGTCAAGCAAATCTCTATTGACTTCGCCATAATGTAAGGTCTGCTGTGTCTGTGTATATAGGCATTAACCACTCACATTCTCATGGAAGCAGGGATCTGGCAAGAGGGCTGACCTCACCGGGACATCCAGTGTCAACTATCCACTTACACAGGCCCAGGGCCCTTCGGTGTCAAAATGAATCCCAAGCCCAATGCCCTGGATAGGAGAGAGGACAATCAATGGAAAGGGAACAGCTCTTACTCATCTTCCTCTAAGGACATGTCAAGGTCATCATTTGATCTTTCATGTGCTTTTTGAGCCATTCTACTAGTTATCTGCCAAGTTAAGTTGGTACATACATACATACAAGTCACCTTTTATTTCTGTTGGGTAAACATTAAGTTCTAGGTAGAGAGAGAGTCATAATATTTTGAATAAAAAGAGCAACAACAAGTATGTGGACATCCTGATGCAGATATGAGGACATGCTGTCATTCTGGAGGTCAGCGACCTCTTTAACAGTAGAATTCCAGCTGATGAAGCACTTACTTGATGAGTTTGTTTCATTCTTCCCAGCAAGAAAACAAGCATCCCTGTGGGATGTGGGAGAAGGCCACAAAGAGGCATTTACACAGTTACAATGGTGCTGAACCCCTTCTCTACCCAAGATATGATAAGAGCTAAAAGTCCAAGAAAAAGGTCACAGACTTAGAACCAAAAACTAAGGAAGCAGTAACTAGCTATATTCTATATGTAGTTCTTTTGCTATATAAAATAAAGAAACTGAAATGCACAAAAAACAGACACTAGAGTTCCTAAAAATACTCTTTTCTACAATCAAAATGGAAAGATGAAGTAGTCCAACAAGAAGCATGAGTCTAGCAGGGGGTACTTAGCAAATGGAAGCCCACCTCTAGGGGCGCTATCCAAATGTATAGACACAGATCTTTCCTGCTCACTGCAAAATGACAAGAAAACGTATGCTAAAGTCCCAAATGAGCCCTAAGCACTAAGAAGGCAACTGTACTGTAGAGCAGGAAAAGCACAGCATTGGACTGTCGGGGGATATGAGTTCTGGTCCTCCTTCTCCAAGCATAATCCCTTCCTTTTTCCCACTTTTTTTCCTTTGGGGGGCAGTGAGGGAAGGAGTGACAATGTCCAAAAGAAATGTACTCATTACTTAATTTGACATGTAACTGTAACCCTTATAATAAAAATAAAAAATTAAAGCTTTCTTTCAAAAGAATGAGATTCAAACACAATGTCTGATGCTTTCATTCACTGGCTGGTACTCTACCACCTGAGCCATGTCTCCAATCCCTTTTTTCCTCTTTGAACCAATTTGTCATACATCTATGAGAATCATCGTATCTATGGTCTCATACAAGCCTTTAAGGTACACAAGTTTTTTATCCTATAATTACATAAATCTCTCAATGGGAATTACACTAGAATCACACACATCAGCACCAGACTATAAGTTCTGGATATGTCAGGAATATCATGATGGAATGTCAGGGCAGTTACAACCCTGTAAGAACTCAAATAAGCAAGTGGCAGCTGAGGAGCCTTTCCAACTTCAGGATCAATGAAAGCTATTCTGAAAACAAAAGGAATGACTAGACTTTCTAAACAGTAGTCTCTTTCCACAAAAACTTCCCACAGGACAGATGCCCAGAGTCAGAGCATATTAATCAGTTATCTCTACCCATTCATTACCGTGGCCTTTGACCTTCTCAGATGCATCATTTATTTGTCTTAGACTTTATAACACTACTCTGGGAATCCAGAGACCTTGGTGACCTCATAATCTAGCTACAGTGGGATTTAGTATTTGTTTCCCTCTCATCTGGAAGTTACCTTACCCCTGGGGCAGCCTTACCTTAGACTGAGCAAGCTCCAGAAGCAGCTGTACTGAAATTTACTGTTCTCTCACCTTTGCAGCCCAATGTAGATCCCTCTGCTACCATCTAACTCAGAGCATTTGTGGAGGGGACAGGAGGGATTGGGGGGAATCTTCCAGGGCTTAGCTCTTTTCCTACAAACCAACGGGAGTAAACTAGATAGTTTAAGTTCTTTTCCAGTCTGTGCCTATGGTTCTATTGGCAACAGAAACAAGAATATGACACTTCAATTTGGCCAGGGAAGGCAGTATATAACTTGGCCAGGGAAGGCAGTATATAACCTGGCCAAGCCTTCTCTATAGAGTTTGCATGGGTAGGGCATGGTAGACAGGTCTACAAGAGGTGCTTCAGTATTACAAAAGTTTCTAAATGTTTTTTACTGTCTTTGTTTTCTTTTTTTTTCTGTTTGCTCATTTATATGTCTTTGAGAGTATAAGGAGAGGCAGAGAAATAGAGGGACAAAAGTTGAAAAAAATGCAGCAATGGTACTCATTGGACACTGTGTTAAGAATGAACTATACAACTTTAGGTGGGGACAGGAAGGAAAAACTGAGAGTGAGGGAAGGGGTGACACTGTCCAAAAAGAAATACACTCTTTACCTGACTTATGCAACTGTAACTCCTCTGTAGCACCTTTATAATAACACTTTAAAAAGAGTTCCTAAGGGCTGGCAAGGTAGCTCAGTGGTAGACTGCTTGCCTCCCATGCATGAGGCCCTGGATTCAATTCCTCAGCACCACATAAGCAGAAAAAGCCAGAAGTGGTGCTGTGGCTCAAGTGGTAGAGCGCTAGCCTTGAGCTGAAGAGCTGAGGGACAGCGCCCAGACCCAGAGTTCAGGCCCCATCACACACACACATACACAGGCATACACGGGCATACACAGGCACACACAGGCACACACAGGCACACACAGGCACACGCACACACACACACACACACACACACACAGGCACACACAGGCACACACAGGCACACACAGGCACACGCACACACACACACACACACACACACACACACACACACACACACACACACACACACACACGAGTTCCTAAATAAAAGGTTTCCAGAAGTACCTACCTTTCCAGCATCCACCAATTCTGAAATTTCATCTAGATATAGACCACTGGCCATGAAAAAGGCCCAGCGATAATGGACTCCTTGCCAGAAATGCTAAAAAGAAGAAAGAAAACATGTCAAATATAGAAAAGGATAAAATCTGGCTATATACAAATTCAGGGCAAGGCCTTTTTTGGATAGATAAACAGGTTTCCCATTTCATGCCAACACATGAGTGCTATGCCCAGCATCTTAGCACAGTGACTGACAGAGAAGTGACGCTCCCTAACGGTTAAGAAATAAACAAATGAACAGGACATGTGCATGTCAGCTCAGGCATCCTCTCTAAGCTGATGAGTAGTGAGCTCAGGAAATCCCTCCCTGAAAGACAGTCTGGATAGTCACACACTGAACTGCCTCCCTAGGATAAATCAGGGGCTGAGACAGCCAAATTCCTCCTACAAGGTTTGAAAAAGGCCCAGAGAGATCAGAAAATCAATTTTCAAATTGTCTCAGGAGAAATAAGCCAACAAAATAGTACTGCAGACAAGAAAACTCAGGTTTTTCTGGCTCTGATAGAAATAAAGCAGCTGTAAAGGCAAAAGTATAAAACTACTGTATATTTTCCTGGTTTCCCCTGCAATATGACAAATACCAACCCATCTATTATGAGACAAAGATCTCTCCCGATAAGGATGAGCAAAATTCTTAACACTAGGAATGCTCAACTCTACTGCTGTGCCCCCTTACAACTGATGTTCTTTATGTCAGTTATTGAAAGAGCAAGTTCAGGTGTTCTTCCACCCTCCGATTTTTTTCTGAGACAGGGTCTTGCTATGTAGTCCAAGTTGGTCTCAAATGCACAGTACTCCTGCCTCAGCCTCTCAGCTGGGCTAATGTTTCCATATATCTGAATAACTAGCCAACCACAGTTCATCAAAAGGAACTATCCAAGAGGTAGTACAAGATTGGCTAGTACTATACTACTGCTATTTCTGCATCTACCCACAACTATGATGTGAGCACAGACTGGAGGGGAGAGGAGAACCAAGAGTAGAGTATTTACTCTTGGAGACAGCTCTGAAGGTTAACTTGTAAGAGGTCTCATTGGCTCACAAACTTAGAATCTTATAGAAAGCTTAAACTTGTATTTTATTTTATTTTCTTAGAGGGGGGTCCGGTCGTGAGGCCTGCACTCTGAGCCTGGGTGCTGTCCCTCAGCTCTTCAGCTCAAGGCTAGTGCTCTACCACTTGAGCCACAGAGCCACTTCTGGTTTTTTTCTTTTTACTTATGTGGCTGAGGAATCGAACCCAGGGCCTCATGCATGCAAGGCAAGTGCTCTACCACTGAGCCACCTTCCCAGCCCTTAAACTTGTATTTTAAAGCACAGAAAAGATTAGGCTTCTCAAGGAGGAGGCAACAAAAGACAGCTAAGATCCCTTTCTCCACTGCCCGGATACAAAGCTTAGTTTGTTCATCTCTACTATTCATATACATTTCATATAAATATTGTCATTCCAAGGGAGGGAGGAAAGAGAGGGGAAAGAAAAAAAAGGAGAGGGAGGAGGAGGAAGGTAGAAGAAAAGAAGCAGCCAAAAATGATGATCATGCCTATCATCTGACAAGGTAAGATGGTAAGAATTGGCTGAATTGTCCCAATGACTCAACCTTTTATCTTGCCTTTTCTTTTTCCTGAGTCTAATTAAAAAAACAACTTTTTCTATTTTATATTCTATTTCTTTTTTATATTCTTTTTCTATTATATATTCTATACTTCAATACTAATTCAGGGATCTACAATTACTAACCATTCATAACCAAAATTATAAGGCTCCGTTCCCACTGTGGTGAATACAAACTAGGGCATTAAGTCAAGAGCAGATTCCCAAGTTCTGCTATCAGTCTTGTAGCTGAAATGGGTATGTGCTAGTCTCCAAGGTCCACCACTCACTCAGTACATTCAGTTTTTAGCTTTTCAAAGCTCTGGCAACAGTGGACTGTGAACAGAATCAAGCTAACTAGTCAAGTCCAGGAAAATCCTAGAATGCCATTAATAACTACAGTTATTCACAGGACATATGCCTTGTCAGGACAGTGATATAAACCCAGCAGGAGAATGGTAGTAGGCTTAGCCTTTGCAGCCTCACTACAGTAATAGTTGATTTTCCTTCTACAATTCAATAACATGCTGATAAGATTGCAGAAGGCAATAAGCGCCAGTCTAGGACTACTTGTTATATCGCCATTCTGTCATAAAAACAGCAACTGTATGCTGTCCTAATACAGTTTCTACCTTTAAATTCAAGGTACTATCTGTGTTAAGATTAGTGAAATAGAGGCCACCAAGTATAAGCAGGAAGAGAGTCCAAGGGGATAGATGGAAAATAATAATGACTAATATTTTAGCAAGTTTTTTTTGGTAGGTGGTGGGACTTGGCCTCTGGGCCTGGGTGCTGTCCCTCAGCTTTTGCACTCAAAGTTAATGCTCTACCACTAGAGCCACTTCTGGCTTTTTCTGTTTATGTGGCACTGAGGAATCAATCCCAGGGCCTCATGCATGGGAGGCAAGCACTCTACCACTGGGCCACCTTCTCAGGCCTAACAAGAGCTTTTAATGTACCTCACATTGTGCCAAGTTCTTCAGATGGATTATTTCATTTGATGCTTACAAAAATGCAGTAAGATACATAGATTATTAGCCTCATTTTATAGGTAAAGCCATTGGGTGCAGACATGTTAAGTAATTTGTATTGGGCCACACAGCTACTGAGTAGCGGTCAGAATCTGAATCCAGGCCCTGACTCTAGTGTCCATGCTAGCAGGTACAGTGTTCCAAGAGAAGAGAAAGTAAACTGGAAAAGTAATTTTGAGCACAGCAGTTACTTGCTTGCTCTCTATCTCACCAACGAAGACTGTCCTTCCCACCTTTAATGCCTTGGTACCCATGGTGACTCCTGTCTGCAACATGCCATCTGCTATGCCCAGTCGGTCCATGTTCAGGAGGAAAGGAGTCACCAAAGTCACATAGGTGGCTCCTGACCATTTCTTGAGAAAATTTAGAGCCCATTTTTCGGTGGATCCACCAACATTATCAAGGATAAAATCAAACCTGGAGAGAGAAAGTCAAAATCAGAACACCTTTGTTAGCTTCACTAGGCTTGGATATTCCTTTATTCCCTTTACCACTGTCTACAGATTGTACTGCAGTGACAATTTATAAATTGTGACGCACTATGCCACGTAGCACAGGGGGTGGCTGCTTATTGGCTCCCACTGCATCAATAACTTCTTTCCAAGCTAAACTGAAAGTGACTTTTTCCCTTCCCTTTTTTTCTTTGTGCTGGTCCTGGGTGCTGTCCTTGGGCTTTATTTATCAAGGCTAATGCTCTACCCGTTGAGCAACAGCTCCACTTCCAAAAGTGACTTTTTCTTCTGGTAAAAATCATATTTTCTAAAACTTTGGGAACAACTTAAGCTCGGTGGTAAAGAGGTAAAGCTCAGATGCACAGAAGAGGCTCTCAGAGCATCCAAAATAATCCGTAGAGGAACTAAAAGTTATCCACTTAATACATCCAAAGTATTCCTTGGTGCAAATGAATACTTGAAAGGATATGTTTTTGCTCATCAGATTGATTTGCTTGTATTCCCTCCTCAGCCAGAAATGTTTGTAGACACATCCTTGTTACCTTCTGGAGTGTTCTGTTTTAATTTCATGTACCGAATCAAGATAATATAAGAAGAGAAATCAATACCCTTCTCTCTGTCTTCAATTCTGTTCTAACATGCCAAAAGATTCATCCTAATGGAATCCAGAGGAACTGACAGATATTCAAATCCTTAAAGCTAACCTAAAACAGCTATAATCACTGTATTCTACTTAAAACAACAACCTAAAGATCTTAAATACTTTTGAAAACAAATACCTATTGAGAGAGAATAAATTAAGCTAATCCATTGACTGGGTAAGGCCTTTTCCTTTCCAAATCCATCTGGATAAAGTCAAACATCAAAGCTTCTAAAACAGGCTTTTGCTATCTTCATTAACCTTGAGCCTTTAAGAGATTTTTTTAAATTAAACTAAAGAAAGATAAAAATGAAAGGTTATGCAACACAGGAGAATGACCTTATATGATGATTATTCTCACTAAAAAGTTTCTACTTGTGGGTGTTGGTGGCTCACACCTATAATCCTAGCTACTCAGAAGGCTGAGATCTGAGGATTATGGTTCAAAAATAGCTCAGGCAGGAAAATCTACAAGACACTTATCTCCAGTTAACCACTGGAAAGAAAAGAAAACTGGAAGTGGAACTGTGGATCAAAGTGGTAGAATGCTAGCCTTGAGCAAAATTGCTCAGGGATAGCACCTAGGCCTGAGTTGAAGCCCCTTGGCTGACCACAAAAAAAAAGTTTCCACTTCATTTTCAATTTTTGAATAAACAAATATTAGAATACGTAAAGGAAGTCTGGGGATCATGTTGTTGTAGACCAATATCACACTAATGATTAATGTAGCATGAACACACAAAACCTTCATAAACCATCTGACATTTCTTTTCTCAACTACAGAGGACTGAAGGATCTCAAAACCACTTCTTGCTATAAAACTCTCAGGATTTAAATAGCTAACGAGTTGCTACTTGGAAGGCACAACTATACTGCAGGTAGATTCAGAGCTCAAATTCCTGATTAAAGTTCCAAAAGTCAATTTTAACTGAAGTTGTCAAAAAATAAGGAAGGAGGAAAGAGGAGGGGAGGGGAACAGAAGAGAAATAGAAGTAATGGTCTCCATTTGTAGACCAGGGCAAGTGACAAGACCACCTGCCAGAGATACCTGGTATGGAAATATAGCACAGGGCTACAGGTTAGATTGAGTGTCCTTCAGACTTCCATCTGTCAGGCTGCCCTTCCTCTGGAAGCATATTCCACACCTACATGAAGCTGAAGGTATATTCAGGGGTTGGCTTCAGGGTAATGCTGCTCTTCCTAGCAGCAAAAGACATGCGATTAAACTCAACTTCTGCTATCCACAAGCCAAATCCTAGAGACTCGTCATGTCCTCACTTCCCAAAGGCCAGGCTTAGAAGGTCTGGACATTCATTCACACAGGAGAGTAGCTGTGAGCCCTCAATCATATGGACATGCCATTATCTCTGGATCACCTCCATAATGAATCAAATATTATTGAATACTTACTATTTACCACTTCCCTACAATACCAGATAGGAAGATACAGTAGGAAACATGCAAAACAAAACAAAACAAAAACCCTATTTAAAGAGCTTGTCTAATGCAGACTGCCAAATGCTGCTTCCTCAAAGAAGCCTCCACTTTAGGCTGGCACTCTACCCCTTGAACCACAGCCCCACTTCCAGCTTTATACTGGTTGATTGGAGATAGAGTCTTATAGACCGGTTTTGAACCATGATCACCAGACTTCATCCTGAATAGCTAGGATTACAGACATGAGCCACCAGCATGTAGCTAGAAGCAGCATTTTATTTATTTATTTATTCATTTATTTATTGTTGGTCTTGGCACTTGAATTCTGGGCCTGGGCCTGGGCACTGTCCCTCAGCTCTTCAGCTCAAGGCTAGTGCTCTACCACTTCTGCCACAGCACCACTTCCAGTTTTCTGTTGTTTTATTGGAGATAAGAGTCTCATGGACTTTTCTGCCCAGGCTGGCTTTGAACTGCAATCCTCAAATCTCAGTAGCTAGGATTACAGGCATGAGCCACCAGCACCCAGGTGGAAGAAGCATTTCTAAATCACTCCAACCATGAGAACCTCTTTTCCAATCATTTCTTTTCCTCCTTTCATGCATCAACTTTCCTCAGAATACTGAAAACTAAAACTTCCCAACTAGCATGCAAGCTCCATCACAGCAGGAATATGTCATGTTCGCTGTTGTTTCCAAGATTTAGGCTGGGATTGGCAAGAGTCGATGCTAAATAGTGAAAGGAATGATGACTCAGCTGGCTGTTCTGACACATGCCCTGCTCCTGTTGGAGTCGGTGGGTGGTCTAGGCATTGCCAGAGAGGAGGTGCTCCTGGCACCCTTTTTAAAAATGTACTCTAATTGTAATTATTAAGGTGTTATACAGAGAAGTTATCATTTCATAAGTCAGGTGAGAGTACAATTCCTTTTGGACAATGTCACTCTTTTCCTTTGCTTCCTCCCCCCCCCCCCCCCCCCGTTTTCCCCCATCCCTGTCTGCAAGTTGCATAGTTCAAATTTGTTTGTTTACCCTTCCTCCTTCCATTTCTCCCCAATCCCCACAATTTACCCTCCCCTAAAAAGACAGAAAAACAAAACCTTCCAAAAGCAAAAACAAACACCCAAAACAGAATATGTTTTCATTTCCTGGAATTCATTTTGATAAATAGTATTTTAGATGTTCAGAGAAGTTATACCTTTGGGTTTGTCCCCTAGCAGTATCATCCTTTAGTCTGTTTGTATGTGAATGCCTAGACTATTTTCTATAATTATACAGTCCAGTTGTATTTTAGATCTAAGCTTCCACGTATGTGAGAATATATACACTGTTTGTCTCTCTGAGCTTGGCTTATTTCACATAACGTGATTTGTTCTAGGTCCACTCATTTCCCAGCAAATGACATATTCTTTGTAATGGCTGTGAAAAATTCTATTGCATATAGGTGGCACATTCTTTGGATCCACTCATCTACTGTAGGGTATCTGGGCTGTTTCTATAACTTGACTATTGTGAATAGTGCAGCAATGAACATGGATGTGCAAGTATCTTTACTGTATCCTGAACTGTAATGTTCTGGGTAGATAGACGCTCAAGAGTGTTATAGGTGGATCATAGGTATCCACCTTCTTTTAATTGATTGAAATACTATTCTCAACATGGGCAAGAATAAGTGGTTTTTGAAAACTAAGAAAAAAATTAATTAGGGCTGGGAAGGTGGCTCAGTGGTAGAGCACTTGCCTTGCATGCCTGAGGCCCTGGGTTCGATTCCTCAGCACCACATAAGAAAAAAGCCAGAAGTGGCGCTGTGGCTCAAGTGGTAGAGCGCTAGCCTTGAGCTGAAGAGCTGAGGGACAGCGCCCAGGCCCAGAGTTCAGGCCCCACGACTGGACCCAAAAAAAGAAAAAGAAAAAAAAGAAAAAAATTAATTAAAACAAAAATTTTTTAAAAGGGAAGATCTTTGTAATCATAGCAGCAAACCAGTCTTCCAAATACTTCTCAAACCCACTTTTGGCTTTGGTTCTGTCATGCTAATAAAAATCAGATTAGTAAACAAATCATGGGGGCTGGGAAGGTGGCTCAGTGGCAGAGGCTTGCCTTGCATGCATAGGCCCTGGGTTCGATCCCTCAGCACCACATAAGCAAAAAGAAAAAAGCCGGAAGTGGCACTGTGGCTCAAGTGGTAGAGCGCTAGCCTTGAGCTGAAAAGCTGAGGGACAGTGCCCAGGCCCAGAGTTCAGGCCCCATGACCGAACTCAAAAATAAATAAATAAATAAAGTAAACAAATCATGGTCTGAAGATTGAGGGGGTTGAGAAAATTCCTGAGTCTGTCCCTATCTAGTACCTCAAGCCAAATCAGAGCCTAGTGAGCATTCAGACCACTAAGAACAACCAGGGTGGTGCTCACTTTCTAGCATTTACCCTTACATTGCTTTCTTAGGTTCTTATAGCTCCTAAACACTGAAACAGTGTTTGGTGCTAATCACATGGTTTCATGAACTACTCTACTCCTCCTGTGTGACACACACCAGAGAAGGCAGCACACTTCCGATTTACCTTGAGACCTTTACAAACAGCAATAAATGTGAACAAACATCTTAAAAATGAGCAAAAGAAGTTTAGCCTGTAATCCTAGCTACTTGGGGCTTATATGCAAAGATCACAATTCAAAGTCAGCCTAGGCAAGAAACTCTAGTTTTTCCAATTAACTACCAAACAGCCAGCAGAAGTAGAGTTATGGCTCAAGTGGTACAGCAAAAATACTAAAAGACAGCACCTAGATCCTGAGTTCAAGGCCCAGAACCAGAAGCAAAAAGAAATTAGCAAAAGATCAGATAAAAGTAGCTTCTTTGGTACATACCAAAGTATGTTATAGTACTATCTTAACCTTTAATGATAAGGTACATTTTTCAGATTCTCTTTTTTATTTTTATTATAAAGGTGATGGACAGAGGAGTTACAGTAACATAAATCAGGTAAAGAGTATATTTCTTTTTGGACAACGTCACTTCTTCCCTTTTCAAAGATCTCCTCCCAAAGCAATTGAAAGGCCACCAAACTACCTGAGACCTGCATTACAACGATCCTTGAGTGTACTTCAAATGGGAGCATCGCTGGCTCTTGTATTTTCTTCTTTGGTAGTAGTACTGGGGCTTGAACTCACTAGACAAGCACTTACTAGACTAGCACTCTGCCTCTTGAGCCAGGGCACCAGCCCTTGTTGCTGCTTTAGTTCTTTTTTGGGTAGGGTCTCACATTTATTATTTCTGGGTCTACCTGGACTACAATCATTTCATTTCCATTTCCATAGGAGCTGAAATCACAGGTACAAGCTTTTTCCTTGGTTGAGATGAGGTTTTCGATAATTTTTTTACCCAGATTGGCCTTGAACTACCATCTTCCCCATCTCAGCCTCTACAGAGCTAATAGTAAAGGCACAAGACAATGTGCCCAACAGGAGCATTATTCCAATACATACGGTCTTAAGGATTTCAACTGCTCTTCCACACTTCCAGACTTGTAATCAACGACATCATCTGCCCCAAGTTTTTTTACAAGCTCACTGGCGTCTTGAGAGCAAACTGCTGTCACATGAGCACCCCAAGCCTTCATTATCTGGCAAAAAAAGGAAAGGAATAAAACAGATTATTTTTTAAGGTAGTGCCATAGATTAATTTTGAAACCTTAAGTACTTTAATATAAAACTTTAAGTACTTTGTCTTACTGAGAACTATAGGAAGACTTTGTTCAGGGGCTGGGAAGATGGCTCAGTGGTAGAGCACTTGCTTTGCATGCATGAGGCCCTGGGTTCGATTGCTCAACACCACATAAGCAAAAAGAAAAAAGCTGGAAGTGGCGCTGTGGCTCAAATGGTAGAGCGCTAGCCTTGAGCTGAAGAGCTGAGGGACAGCGCCCAGGCCCAGAGTTCAGGCCCCACGACCGGACCCAAAAGAAAAATTAAAAAAAAAAAAAAAAAAAAAGGAAGACTTTGTTCAGAAACTAGTAAAAGTGACTTAACTTTTGTTTAGAAAGAAAAAGTGTTTGTTTGTTTCCACCAGAGAACCAGTTGCCTCTATGGCATAAAGTTTTGTTTTGTATTGTTTTTGATGATACTGGAGTTTGAATTCAGTGTTTGTTAGGCAAGGACTCTACCACTTAAGCCATGCCTCCAGCCCACAGCAGGAAGTTTTAATCATTCCATTTCAAGAAGGGATCAGTACCTAGTATCAGGAAAGACAGGAGTTGATAGTATCAAATTTATCATCTTCAATGACAAGGGCAAATGACAGAAAAAAAAAAGAAAAAAAAAAAGCACATATCCACAGAATATGACCATTTTAAGTGGCCAAAAAATGCACATCTTCATTTCTATCTCTGAAAAGTGTTAATTTAGTCTTCCAGACAGTATTAAAAGTATTCAGCTTACCAGGCACTGGTGATTCACACCTGTAATCCTAGTTACTCAGGAAGCTGAGATCTGAGAATCACAGTGAAGCCAACTAGGGCAGGTAAGTCCATGAGGCTCTATCTCCAATAAACTACTCAGGAAAAGGCTGGAGGAGGTGGCTGGATGAATGACTCAAGTAGTAGAGTTGTAGCCTTGAGCAAAAGGAGCTCAGGGACAGAGCTGAGGCCCTGAGTACAAGCCCTAGGACCAACCAAAATTTAAAAAAAAAAAAAAGTTCTATTCATTGAACTTAAATACTACACTCTAAACTTCTAAGACTCTATTTAGTTTTGTAATTCCACATTTAACATTCACCATGAGTTTTTAGCTATTTCAGTTGGAGAAGCTCAATTCAGTAGCAGATTCTCAGAGAGGGATCAGAAGAGCATTCCTTACATCTATATTAGGTAACATTATTAATAACCCGTGTTATTAACACAGCAGGTTGATAACAGTTCTTATGTATTCTTTACTCTTAAAGGCCAGTTTTGTCTCACCTAATAGTCTTGGTGTGTGTTTGGTATCACTTGTTTTTGTTAGTTTTTGTTAGTTATGGGGTTGGAACTCAGGGCCTGGCACTGTCCCTGAGCTCTTTCTTTCAAGGCTACCAATTTACCACTTTGAGCACCACTTCTGGTTTTCTGGTGGTTAATTGGGGACAACAGTCTTACCGACTTTCCTGCCCAGGCTGGCTTCAAACTGTGGTCCTCAGATCTTATAGGCGTGAACCATCAGTGACTGGTGTCACTTCATTTTTAACCCCTGGCATTAAAGTGTTGCTGTCACAAAGTTTGATAAAAATCTAACTTTACTTTTTTTTTTTTTATATGCATGTACTCTTCTAGATATCCAAATGATTTTTTTTCTTTTTCTCTTTTCTTTTTCTTTTTGTCAGTCATGGGGCTTGAACTCTGAGCCTGGGCACTGTCCTCAGCAGTTCAGCTCAAGGCTAGCGCTTTACCACTTGAGCCACAGCACCACTTCTGATTTTCTGGTGGTTTATTGGAGATAAGAGTCTCACAGACTTTCCTGCCCAGGCTGGCTTTGAACCGTGATCCTCAGATCTCAGCTTCCTGAGTAGCTAGAATTACAGGCGTGAGCCACCAGCGCCCAGCTTCTTTTTCTTTAAAGGCCAAAGTTTTTACTTAACTTTTCCTTGATATTTTTACTAGTAATTTTCCTTAGTATTGGTCATTTTGAAATTAAGTTCTCAGAGAAGAGATGGTACTAATCAATATATATTTCAAAACATTTAATTTCAGGAAAGTAGAGAAGTTTCTTTGTAGTATTCCCTTGTATATTAGTTACTTCTGCTAATCTCTGATCTAAATAGCTAACAGAAACTACTATAAGGGAATTATTTCCAACATAGTGAGGAGGGCATGGAGAAAGAGAGCTGTTCACATCATAGCAGCCAGAAAATAGAGGAAGGGGATACAGGAAGGGGCAGGGCATGAAACAGCCTTCAAAGACACCCTCTCCCCCCACCTCCCCACCTCCCCACCCCCGTGTCCACCACCTCCTTAGGGACTAATTCTCTTCTGAGATGGGAGCCCTCATGATCTGATTCAGGAAGCACCCTTCTGAACACACCCAGAGGTATGCTTTAGCAATCCCTTAGGAATTTCTTAATCCAGTCAAGTCTGACAAACAAGATTAACTATTATACCTTGTTTTGGTTTTCCTTTACCAGAATTTTTATCATCCATACCTCAATCTAATTTCAGAATATTATCACCCCTGAAACAAATTTCTTGGCCATTAAGCAGTAATTCCTCAGATAACTATTAATCTGTTTTCTGTATTTGTAGATTTATCTATTCTGGAATATGAGATAAATAAAATAATATGTGACCTTTTATTTCTAGATTTTTTTTTACTTAGCATATTTTTTTGTGCTTAAAAAAATAGTTTTATTTATTTTCACAGTACCAAACCAAGGACTTCACATCTACTAAGGAGGCATTGTGCCACTTTAGCTACACCTCCTACCCTTTTTCAAATGGGTTACTTTCAAGGTAGTTTCATTTTATGACCTAGCCAGCCTGGGCTGTGATCCTCTCCCAAGCCACACTGATAGGTGTATACCACTTTACCTAGCTGTTGCCTGAGGCAGAGTCTCATGAAGCCCAACTGGTCTAGAACCATGATCTCATCTTTACCACTAAGGAGCTAAGATTACTGTATTGACCCATCACTCCTAGCTACTTAGCATAATTTTTTTAAAGATTTATTTAGCTTGTATCAAATGCCATAATTTCATTCTCCTTTATGACTGAATATTTTTCCATTATATATATATATATATATATACATATATATATCACATTTTGTTTATCCAACTACTATAGCTAGTTCTGTTTTTCACTCTGATGAATAATGCAGGTATGAACATTAGTATGCAATCTTTCTGAATGTTCACCATTTTGAGGAAACAATAAACTATCTTCATGGCAGCTACACTATTTTATATTCCCCCAGCAATGTATGAGAGACCTCGAATATCCCCCAAAGGTTCATGTGTTAAACGGTTAGTTCTCAGTTTGGCATTATTGGGAGGTGGTAGAAACTTCAATAGTTGAGGCCCAGTAGAAAGTTCCAGGTTATTGGGGCTTACCCTTAAAGAGGATCACAGAATCCTAGTTACCCCTTTCTCTCTCCCCTTCCCTCCTCATGTCCTGGCAATGAGATGAAAAGTTCTGTCAGATGCTGCTGCCATAATATGCTGCCTCACCATAGTACATCCTTACCATGATTGCTCAGGCAATCATAGACTGAAACCTCTGAACCACGATCTATAATAAACCCTCGCTCTTTATAAGCTGAGTAAGAATAATGAACTCATGGGCCATTTGTATATATTCTTTTACAAAAATTGTATTTTTGGACTTTGCACTATTACTTGGCTTTTTCACCCAAGACTGGTAATCTACAACTTGAGCCACACCTCAACTTTCTGCCTATGATCTTCCCTTCAAAGAATTCTCCTCAATATTCTCAACTTACATACTAAACTACTAGAAAGAGTGATGCGTCTTTCTATATTAGAATATGTTCATTTCAGAAGAGCAAGCTGAAATTACAATTCATTTGCTAGACCTGCTTTTAGTTTTTAAGGAAATATACTTTATAACATGTTCATTTACAAATTCAAATTTTAAAAAATCTTCCTGCTTACAATATTAAAAATTTGTTTTACCTGTATTGCGAAAGTACCAACTCCACCCGAAGCACCCAAGATTAAAACACTGCAATACAAAAGAAACCAATGGATAAATGTTTGAAAATTACAACTGACTCAGTGACAGTTTCCAAGCAAACAGACTTACTCAGCTTCCCAAGATTATATCACACAAAGACTTCTGCTTTAGGTTCAGAAGGAGCTGTAACTACATAACATCAGACATTTTACGAACTCTTTATGAAAAATACTAAATATCAACAAAACTACTAAGCATAAGCTGGGATTTGGGGGTAGCTGGTAGGGTACTTTGTAACACCTGCTTTACAATTTCTCTAGGTAGAGTTACCACAGCCCCTTCTGTGAGGGGGAAATTCAGGGCCTTTTAAATGTACAAGACTTAGTTGTTTTCTAAGAAAGATCCTCTGACTACATTCCTGTCCAAGTGGGATAAACATCCTGTGCTCAGACCTGTTGTGCAAAGCTTATCAAATGGAAATAATCTTATCCTTGCTGTGATTTCCTGTTAAAGCACTTAATTAAATGTGCCCTATCAGCAAATGCACCATGGGCTCCAGGATCTTCACAGGGCTGCTCACTGCAGCTTGCTGCTCTTAGAGACCCAATGAACTGACTGCTTATCCTAAAGGTGGGCAGAGGGAGGAAGGAAGGTAAAGTGGAGAGGGAGTTAAAGGAGAGGGATAGAGGGGTAAGTCTGATCAGGATACATTATATGCACAGATAATAAAATAAATGTCATAATAAAATCCCCCTTATGTAACCAATATAAGCTAATAAAAATGTTAATCTAATCATGTCAACTCTATTTTTCTTCTATTTTCTGAACATAACTCTCCTCCTTAGAGACTCTGATCTCTTTACCCTTCCCTATAACTTCTACACATAGAGATCTAAAATGCCTTCAGTATCTGGTAAGATCTCTCTTTCCTTGAAGGACCAAGTCTCAGTTTTCCTCCATATATTCTGACATAATCCAGAATCTGATAACTACATAACACATTTGGCATTTGCTTGGCTATGAATTCACACATACATTCTGCATTCCAAGTGATTCTGCAAGTATTTAGAGACCTCCCATTAATGCCTATTCTAACCACACTGTCCTGGACGTAGCAGACGCCTGAACATTTCTTGATTTTAAAAACAACTGCATGACATCCTATCATTAGGTCTACAGTTTTTACCACCTTAAGTGAGGGGATTCTCTAGCTACTACAAACAATACACTGAAGTTTTTTCTAGTAAAAACAAAAATATCTTGAAATTAATTTATCAATTTCTTCTGAAAGGGCCAGATTAAAAAGATATCGAAGCTGGGCGCAGGTAGCTCACGCCTGTAATCCTAGCTACTCAGGAGACTGAGATCTGAGGATCATGGTTCAAAGCCAGCCTGGGCAGGAAAGTCCATGAAACTCTTACCTCCAAAAAAACACCAGAAAACTGGAAGTGGTGTTGTAGCTCAAGTGGTAGAGCGCTAGTCTTGAGATGAAGAGCTGAGGGACAGCGCTCAGGCCCAGAGTTCAAGCCCCAGGACCAACCAAAAAAAAAAAAAAAAAAAGATATTGAAAGTATTGATCACTTATGGGGGGCTGGGAAGGTGGCTCAATGGTAGAGTGCTTGCCTTGCATGCATGAGCCCTGGGTTCGATTCCTCAGCATCACATAAGCAGAAAAAGCCGGAATTGGTGCTGTGGCTCAAGTGGTAGAGTGCTAGCCTTGAGCTGAAGAGTTCAGGCCCCACAACCAATGACCAAAAAAAAGAAAATATTGGTCACTTATGGGTCCAACTGTCAAATATACTTCTGACCTCATTATTGTCTGTTCATCTCTTCTCCACTACTCAAAGCAGCCTCATTTCCTCAAGCAAAAAAGCAGCATTACATTTCAAGCAAGGCTTGGACAGGAGGAAGAGGTTCTGCAACATCAGCTTCAGTTCCTCATGTTGCCACCTGGTGGCGCCCCTAAAGTACAAAAGAGGCAAAGAGGGAGACTCAAGGCTCTGCAGTTAGCTTGTTAAGAAGCCCGGAGGACACACCATTCCCCATCCCGTAAACTTCGTTATGTTTTGTGTAGGGTCAACCAGGGCCCATACTTTTTTTTCCTTTCCAAATAAAGCAGACAAAATAAATATTTAAGCCAGAGCATTAGGCTAAATGGTCCTCTAAAGTCTAAAGACCTGTGGCTAAAGTATGCTTGTACTCTTCAAAGCACTTTGGATGCTAAGGAAAAAGGGAATACGTTTCACCTAGCTTGCTATAATAGTTACACTATACACGCAAATCTCATTGAAGTAGACACCTACTTGGTTCAGTAAAGAAAGGCGTGCTGTATTGTTGATTATATAGGAAATGTTGGTTTTATAGATAGATATAAAATATAGTTGGTTATTATAGGAAAATGTACCATGAAACTACATTGAAAGAAGCCACGAAGAATTGCCATGACTTTTAATGAAATGCCTTTTTTTGGGGGGGAGGGGGGTTCCGGTCGTGGGGCCTGAACTCTGGGCCTGGGTGCTGTCCCTCAGCTCTAATGAAATGCCTTTATGAGTTCCTAGTGCATACAGAGAGCTCCCTCAGGTGAAGGGGGATTGCACTAGTGGCAGGTACAGAAAATATGGGGAAAATTTGAAAATCCTAACCTGCTCTATCATTTCTGTCCCATACCTGACTTCTCCCTAAACGATCTCTTCTTCTCCATGACTAAGACCATTTTTATTTAGCATTGTGTACCTAACATCTCTGATCAGTTTTCAGTATTTCAATTTTATGAAGCAGGTTATCTACTGCCTTACAAATTAAAAAAAAAAAAAAAAGCGAAACAAATTACAAGACAGCAGGAGAACCAGAGGGAGGGAATCATCTTTCAAATTTCTGTATTCTGGCTTTGGCCCCAGAAGTCTTTGAATACTAGGGCTGGGTAACTAGAAACTTGGGAAGTTTCTAGTTTCTAATGGAATCTCTAGGTCTTAGATACACCCGTGAAATGGTGATCACAGAGTTGTACTCTGGGAATAATGAAAAACAATTGGTGCTTTCAAACAACTTACAGTTCGCTTCTCCACCTTTCTACCACAGAAGTACATAGCCTCCACGATTCCCTCTAGACTACATACTTGTGGAGGGGAAAGAGACCAAATCACAAAATTAGTGTCATCTGTTAAATCTCAATGGCTTAGAGACAAAGATGATTTTTTAATATGGCTCAGTCTTCTTTGAGAAATTAAGATGAACCAGACACTGGTGGCTCGTGCTTGTAATCTTAGCTACTCAGGAGGCTGATTTGAGGATTGAGGTTTGAAGCCAGTCAGGGCAAGAAAAGTCCAGAAGACTCTTATCTCCAATTACCTACTAAAAAAAAGCCAGAAGTAGAGGTATGGCTCAAATGGTAGAGCACTAGCCTTGAGCAGGGTTAGCACCCAGGCCCTTAGTTCAAGCCCCAGGACCAGTACATTAAAAAAAAAAAAAAAAAAAGATGAAGCCAGGCACCAGTGCCAGTGGCTCACACCAGTAATCCTTGCTACTTAGGAAGCTAAGATCTGAAGATCAAATTTCAAAGCCAGCCCAGGCAGAAAAATCCTTGAAACTTCATCTTTAATTAACCAGCAAAAACAAAGCTGAACCAGCGGTATGACTCAAGTGGTACAGTACCATGGTAGTGGAAAAAAAACACAAGTAAACAGAGTGTGAAACCTGTGTTTAAACCCCATTACTCCATTACTAGGAGATGGGGGAGGGGGTGTTGGTGCTGAGGTGGGGGAGGGGGGCAAACAGAGACAGAGACAGAGAGAGAAGCTGAAAATATGTCTCACTTTTCAGCTTCATGTACTATTTTTAAATCTGATAGAAAAGAAGGGTGAAAGATTAGTATTTTGGCACAATATGCTAAGTTTACTCCCTATAGTGAATAAGAAACTTAATTTGAATAAGAAGAATAATAGAGCTATAAAACAAATCAATCGAATGCGATCAAGTTGCCTTGATTTGTGTTCTCTTTTTCTAAGCCTCTGTAATTTATGCTGACATTTCCTAATTTACGGGGGAGTTCACGTGTGAATTAGACATTTGGATTTTAAACACATTTTTCCCATGAAAACAAAGCTATTTATACATCTTGGCAAGGTGCCCAGAGTGGCTGTTTATAAAGGTTTAGCTAACCCATAATAGACCAAGAACCTTCATACATGGGATAACAATGGTTCTATTATTTGAGATGTATTCAGAATTTCAACCAGGGCTACTAGACTGTATCTCAAATGGGACAGGCAGTGAGAATTGTCCCAAATCAATAGTTCCTTCAATCTTGCACACACAAAAACAGACAGAGGAGGACTAGAAGTGTGGCCCAATGCTAATATGTTTGCCTCACATATACAAGGCCCTGAGTTTCAAAAAATAAGGTGGAGGGAAGAAATAGTTATAAGGTGAATAATAACAGTGGATGAAAAAAAGAAGTAGCATGGCCAGAGAAGTATATTTCCATGGAGCCAATGAAGCCGAAGTTTAAGGCCCTTCCCTTACACATACAGAGCTCTAGAAGGAACTCCAGCAGTATACTGGTATGGACACATGTTTTTGTCAAATTTGCAACGTTAAGTCATGCCAATCATGAGCAGTTTAAGATTGCAGTCTTTTTCCACTCCTCTATCATACTTCCCCTATTGCTAGGTGATACTAGATTTAGCTAAAAAGTTAAATTTAGAAAAGGGATCTCTTCCTACCCATGAGCTCATTTTCTGTGGTTTCAGTTAGCTACAGTAAGTTGTAGTCCACACATATTAAATGTAAAACCATAGAAAATAATTTACAAATTTTAAATAACGTTTTTTATACGTTGTTGTTGTAGTTATTCTATTTTATTATCAGTTACCATTGTTAATCTTTTACTGTGCCTATTTTTTTTTAACTTAAAGTGCATTATAGGTACGTATGTACAGGAAAAGACAATATACATAGGGTTCCATACTACTAGGCATCCATTTGAGGTCTTGGAATGTATCTCTCCAGAGATAAAGGGAGACTACTATATATATTAGGTTAAGTGGGAA